CCCAACTCTTCTGGTGCCATTCTGTCTAGGTCAGCGTTTCTCAAGCCAAGGAGCGCAAGAATATATGAAAGGGTCACGAACAAACTTAAAAATGGATCAACAAACTAAAAATGGGTTATTCTTTAAAGGAGAAAAACATAGGAAACTATGGCTTTTCTCTTGCGGGCTGTTAGTTTCAGCCTGCAAGGAGCTGCTTGAGGTCCCCCATGCTTGACCATATACCTCAACCTGCCCTACACGCTGGGGGTTAGGGGTGGGGGACAGTGGGTTGGGAGTGGGGGGCACTGGGTCAGGACTGGCCATTGATGTTTACGAATTGGTCTTGGTACAAAAAGGTTGAGAACCACTGCTTTAGATGGCGCCCAGGGCATTTTCCTCACTTGTCCACCCCATGTTACACTACTGTTTACAGGTGGTGAGCAGTAGAGTTTGAATGCAGGAAATATGTGGCCTCTTGCAGTATTATGTTCTAGGATGCTCAGATCCATGTAATCCATTGAACCAGCCATTGCATAGGAGTCCTACATTATGGTTCTGTGGGGGGAATACTTTTGGAGATGTCAGTTTTATTAGACATTGGCCTCCTCTGTCATAGAGATTCATTTTGTCATTGCATGATCTATTTTGGTGGCCCAAACTCAGCAGGTTAAAAAGAATAAATATGTCTTAAAAATACTAACACAAGTGGAGGGCTTTGTTGTTTTACAGCAGCCTTAGGCTTTTTTCTTATGTATTCCCCATACTTTACTGGCTCCCCTTGCAGGCCCCTCCCTTTCTATTTGGATTCTAGAAGTTACTTATTTCTTCACTTGAAATGAATTCAGATTACATATTGTGAAGACTATTTCAGTTAATAAAAGGTGTGATGCTGATAAACTGATGTAACACAAATTTGATAGTTAAAACAGTAGATTTGTACATGTTGACTGCACCATTATGTTGTCTTTCCTGGTACTTGTCACACTTTTTCATGTTACAGCTGATAGGTGAATGATCACTCCATATTAATAAACTCACTATAGAAAAGACCATTTCCAAGTTCAGTATTCTGTAGCTTTTTACATAGTAACTTATAGTACCTTGCAGGTATGATACCATGGGACTTGCATGTGAAATGCTTGCTCAGTTAAACCACATGCAACATGGATACTTCTGGATAGGATGACTGAGTTTTCTTAGTTTTGGTATTTAATTGGCTTTTGGATATTTTAGAATAGGAATGTAATTGGCTATGGACAGTTACTAAACATCAACCCTCCCCACCTAAAATAAACAATGCCCCCCCAACTGTATTTTTCTCTGCATATGAAGGCTGCCGAGGTGGTAGCTCTGGAAATTGGAACCCTCTGACAATGGAACACGTGTGGGGACGGCAGTGTGGATTTTCTTGTACTGAGCCATGTTTTGGCGGAACTATTTAGAAGTCTGAAGGAAGTTCGGTCAGCGTCCACTGAATCTTCGGCTAGTCTTCTAATAGTACCACTTCTTCTGGTTATATTTTTTTGTGATATAGATTTCTGGACACTGTAAAATCACACACGCAGGTAGTCATCAGATGGGAATAACTTTTGGCAAGTATCATTCTGGGACATATTTGGTTTTGTGACCTCTAGATGTAGGGCTCTGTCACTTTACTGATCACCCTATCTGGCTCTTTCCTTACTTACCTATTCTTTCTTCCTCCAATAATACATTATGGGCACGTCTACGTGTGTCGGCATGGCGACCTTGCTACTGTGCCATGCTTTAGTACTTTCTTTTGGATATAGTGTTCACTGTTCAGTAGTAGCCTGTACTGCGCCGTACACTGGGCACACTGTTATTTTTAGCTGCTACTTTGTTGTAGTGGTGCACTATAATGAAGGGGGCATGCTGCCACAGTGAAGTAGCTGCTGGTCACATGTAGGTGCATGTGGTCGTTACGTTGCTGTGGCAATGTAGCGTAACGTGTAGATGTGCCCCGTCTTGAATAAATTTAATTGTTTCTTAGCCTCCTGTTTTCCTGCAGACAGAGAAAAAAATGAAGCTGTTCCTGTCTCAAAGTATTTTTAAACATGGCAATACTAGAAATTGTAAGCAAGACCACTTTTCTTAATTTTGAAAGTTAAAAATCTATATTCCTAGATCTAATCTAGATTCCTAGATTAATCTATTGAATAAGGAAATGGTGTAAAAAAGCATAAGAGGACATGAAGCTTTTTGGTAACAAGGCATCAGTTCTGGAATTTTGCTGCCTCAGATTTGTTTCAGTTTAAGATCTGAACTGGAAGGAAAAGTTGTTGTAAGATTCCACCTTTACAAGAATCTACTGACAACTAGCAGTTCCTTCTGTTTCCAAACTTTCTAAGAACCTGTTGAGCTGCCACAGATTGGATAAATCTTTCAAAGATGTGAGAAATTATAAAAATAGCACAATTGGCATGGGAGCAGTCAGGATTTTCCTTTGTACTTTTTATAGATACAATCCCAAGCAGTTTGCAAAGTGGAAAAAATCAGCCAGATGTTCTTCTTCCTGTTCCTGGGAAGCTGAGTTGTTAGTGAAGATTTTTTTGACGTGTTAAAATCCAGTTGATTTGCAATCCATGTATAACCTGCAGTTTTACAGATAAAATGCATATAGCTTATGCCTCTACAAATTGAAAGTCAGAGGGATAGCTTGTTTTTGACCCTAGGACTCACTACAAGCATAGATGTGATTTCATAAAACTTTATTTTGTTGGCAAAACTGTTTCTACACAGGCAGAGATGAAAAGGCTAAGTGTATATAGCAGTGGCCAGAAAACTGACTTGCTGAAACGCTGTTCCTTGATCCTCTATCTGCTCCTCTGTTTAATTCCTAACTAAAGTGGTGGTTGAGGGACTGCTTCTGCTAAATAGTATTTCTCAAGTGACTTCCTTTTTCTTGGCAACATCATTGCTCATCATAAGGCTTCTTAAATTGAATAATTAGTGTTGTAAGATTATGCTGCAGATTGCAATTCTACCTCCCCTCCTGCTCTAACCCCAGCAACAAGACTGCCATACCAAATGGAAGATGAGAGCACCCAACAGGATGGTCAAAATGTGTACTTTATCAAAACTTCTCATTCCAAATAAGATAACATTTAGTAATGGTAAGAAGTGACTATTAGCTTATCAGGATGCTGTGTGGAAAAGCATGACCTGTTACTTGGGGGAGGGGGGCAACAAAGCATACTTTCAGTGATACATTTTGTAGGGGTTGAAACCAGCGTGCATTTTATTTATAATTTATATATTTGTTTCCTTTTTCTCATTCATAAATTCAAGAACGTATTAATGAATTAAAATATTTATTTAAAAATGAAGTAGTATTTTTATAAAAATGATAAAACACAAGGAAAGTTGGTGTATGGTTCAGGGTCACGATGAAAATTATTTGTGACAAGGCTTTAGTAAATTGAGGTATGTGTTCATGAAATAACCAGTTAATACAAGTGTGCAAATTCATAAAGGAGGGAAAAATTTTCCTGTCCCAGAGGGAGTAAATAAATTGCCCCACAATTAACATTAAAGAGGTGAATGGTTATAGATAGCTTTTGCTAAAGCCAGGTGGCAAAGCAGTGAAATGGGCTTTGCGGTATATGGGTAATTTGAACCAGAAATGTTTTAAGAAAATCCAATATGTAATTATACCTTTCTTTAAAAAATGAAAACTAATGTGTGGTTTATAATCCTCTTTATAGAGGAAGGACTGCATGGAATTGTAAGCTGTACAGCTTGTGGGCAACAGGTGAACCATTTTCAAAAGGATTCAATCTATAGACACCCTACACTGAAAGTCCTTATTTGTAAGGTATGTGATGAGTAGGTTTTTTTCCTACTTCATGTCTCTTTCTTGTTTTTGTTTTGGTGGTTTTTTCCTTCAATAAAAACGTGTCATTGTGTTTAATGGTGTGGATAGTTTTCATTTTATTACAGTTATAATTTGCAAACAAGGAAACTGATAGAGAAGTGAAAATAAAATAACATGAAAATGCACTGCGTTCAGTTTATTGTAGCTTCTTTTGAATTTTGTTTTTAGAATTTATTCGTACAAAATTACTGTTGCTTGCTGTTTATGGTGCTTCATGTTCTTACTGTGATACCATATTGCAAGTTCAGATGGAGTTTTGTATCTCCTTAGAAGTTTCTATACAAAAAGGCTCAGCACCAAAGAAGGGATGGAAAGTTGGCTTTAAAGACCTATTTTTGGTCACTTGGATGTTATTGCTAGGGCTGAAATGCTTTCACTGGTAAAAGTCAATACTATCCTGTGGGCTGTTATAATGTACAGAATCTTTTCCAGTGGCTGCTTGTGGGCAAGATCTCAGCCCAGAGCTCTCGCAGCTTTGAGCAGCATAGGACACCACCTGCACCATCCATTCCAGCACACCTGTACATCAGGTCTTTGTGTAAGGTGGATCTTGTTGGGAAACTTTTCCAACAGGCTACCTGAAGGGGTGACCATTTTAAATTTTCAGAATGGTCTTCAGGATCTTGAGGCCACAAATGTTCCCTTGGTATTTTAGTTGGTCTAATTAACATGCTAAAAGATTGAATGCTGCATTAGATCATATAGTACAGTATTCTGGCACAGACAGTAGCCTGTTTTTGTTAACCTCTTACCTTCAATTATACTTTGTAACATTTACTTTCCTTGACTATTGTATCCTATTTTGTTTACTTTTTAGCAGTTTTAAGTTTCCCTATTTTAGTGTGGGAAAAGGGAACAGTCATTTCTGTTCAACATTATTTTATAGGCCCACATTATTTCCATTTTTTATCCCCTAAGTGAAACAGGGCTAGACTTTTTGATTTTTTTTTTCTTCATGGTAAGTTTACTTACTATTCTTGTTGAGCATCTTTTAGTCATTTGTGTTCTTGCTACACCTTATTTGAGATTGGCTGACCAGGTATTATATGCATTATTTTGAGTGAGACTACATAATTATTTTACAACGCGCATGCATGCATGTACATATACACATACGCGCGTGCACACACTGCTGATGCCCTTCAGAATTCTAGAGTGAATGGGCAGAAGAATACAGCAGGGTATCATCTACAGCTTTTATTTAAGCTGTATTCAAGCAAAACTTTGATTTGGCACTTGGTGCTTTGGTTGAGTAAGGACTGGATAAGGACATCAGACTTTGTCCTTATAAATTCATGGACTTCAGTCATTAGTAGCATTTGAGTGGTACAGTCTTATTTGTTACTCCTCGATTCCTCTGGCCAGAGCTGACCCGAGCAGGGTGTGGGGCCCAGGGTAAATCAGCCCGTGTGGGGCCTCGCCGCCACCCTGATTCCAAGCCCCCTGGATGTGAAGGGGTAGGGTGTGGGGGGGTGAGGGTTGCGAGCGACCAGATGCAAAGCCAGTGGTGGCGGTGCAGAGCCACCACAGCTACTCCATCCAGCTTCATGGGGCCACCCAAAGCGTGGGGCCTGGGGGAATCGCCCTGATTCTCACCCTCTAGGGATTGCCCTGCCTCTGGCAAAGTGTAGTTGCTACGCATGACCAAGTAAGTGATCCATGTATTACAGTTGTTAGAGTTCATTTACTGGTAAGTTACTTTTTAAGCAGCTTTTGGTGCATACAAAAAGTTTAGAGAGATACTTTAATTGCTAACATAAAGAAGAACTTTAAGTTGAAAGGAGAAATCTCAGTAGGAATTTGTGTCAGTGAAAGTGTGTGGGTGGGTTTTTTTTGTTTATTACCTTCTTATTTTGGTATTGATTTTTTTTCTCATAACTTGGAAAGAATTTTTCTGGATAATGAAGAACAAGTATATTTGGATGTTTTAGAAGGTCTGTGGCCCTCCAAAGAAGGTACACATACTTAGTTTTCAAATGCATGTTCTGCCATTCATATCCAAAAAGTCAAAATCTAGATGTTGCTGTACCTTTTGGAGATGATGAAGATTGCAGTTTTGTAAAGTTCACCAGAACTTGAAGAAAGAACACCTTGTACAGATTTCTTGTGTTCCTTTTTATATGTCTGATTTTTAATACACCAGACTAAATGTATAGCATTGTTAAATTCCGTCTGTCAATTTTAATGGAAATTTCCTTGTTTTATTTCCTTAAAGACTTGCTACAAATATTATATGAGTGATGATATTAGTCGTGATTCAGATGGAATGGATGAACAATGTAGGTAAGTACATAAACACCATTTATAATTCACGTGTTCAAGCAATAATGAATAATTTAAGAGTAGTTGTGAAAAGTTAAAGACTAGCACTAGAGCGTTTAAGCATTCACTTATAACCAAGAAATGCCTAACCCAAGGCTGGTGGCTCATGGCCATATCTGGTTCTTCCCAGCCACCACTCACCCCATTACTCTGTGGCAGGACAGACCAGCATGATACAGCCTGCAGTGCTGGGGGAACCTATGGGGTATGGCACAGTGCAGCAGAAGAGCCCATTCCCAGGGAGCTAAAGGTGGGGCTGCAGCATGCATACCTGTGCACATGATGCAGTTGGGGGAAGAAGGTGGAAGGAGAGGGTTAACATACCTGGTGCAGCAGAATGGAGGGAGCACCCACATTCCTAGTCCAGGGCATGGGTGGAGGGAAGGGAATGTGCCTGGTACAGTGTGGAGTGTCTGCCTGGTATAGGGAGGACTGGGGAGCACCCAGGGGTCCCATGGCTTGCACTGGTGTGGACCCTGCTGGTGTGATCTATGAAGTTTGCAGCTTGTAGTTGCGAAGGAGTTGGATAACCCCTGATTACCGTCCGTATCTTGTTTTTAATACTAACTTAGCAAACAAAATGCAAGGAAACGCATCATTTCAGATGATGCACTAAAGGTGAATGTCATGCGACTAAAATTAGTCAGTTTGAAGATATTCAGTTAAGTTTTCCCACTAGCTTTAAATCTATTCTCTCTTCCTGTCCTAAAAGTAGTTTTCATTATGGTACATAGGGGCTCACTATCCCTGACAGAACTTCCTGGTTTCTGTGGCTGGAACCCTGCCATGCTCTTTCCACCTTTTGATTCAACCAAAAATGCTGCTTTTTCCCCCCCCCGCTGCTTAACTCTAGGTTGGCTGAACTTCCTTGGTTTCATTCACTTTTTCCAGTCTTTACCATAGACATCACACACTAGATGCACTTAAAAGCCGCCCCCCACAAAAACCTGTTTTCAGCACGCATTTAAATGTATACAGTACACATACCATATCAGGTACTGTAGCCCTGTATCTGATATAGGTTAGAAAGGCCTATCCTTTCCTTCTCAGGAACAACAGGAAGGCTTGAGCGCTTTTCACATGACGACAAATTTTGTTTCGTACTTATATGGCGATTAGGCCAGAGTATTTAGAGTATAGCTGAGATGGGTGTTTAAAAGCTCTATTTAAATATCCCTGGCTTTTCTCATCTTCTGAGCATTTTAAACTACAACATTTTAATCTGCCTTTCAGGTTTTAATTGTAGCGCTTCAGTATTTTTTAAAAAATGTCTAGATATCTTCTTGCCATATTAACTTTCTAAACAAAACTTCTTGATTTTTATTGGTGTCCATTTTTTAATCTTGAAACCGTGGGAGACTATATTTATGTATAACAAGCTATAACATTTGTTTTTAGGTAGCATTTTAATATTTTCCTAATCTTATTTCAGATGGTGTGCTGAAGGTGGGAACTTAATTTGCTGTGACTTTTGCCATAATGCCTTCTGCAAAAAGTGCATTCTGCGCAACCTTGGTCGAAAAGAGCTGTCAACTATAATGGATGAAAATAATCAATGGCACTGCTACATTTGCCAGCCAGAACCTTTGTTGGACTTGGTCACTGCATGTGACAGTGTCTTTGAAAATTTAGAACAGTTATTACAACAAAACAAAAAAAAGATAAAAGTTGAGAGTGAAAAAAGTAAAATATATGACCATGCAATCAAATTTTCTCCAAAGAGAAACAGTTCAAATTGTAATGGAGAAGAAAAAAAAATAGATGATTCGTATTCTGGTTCGTTAACCTATTCCTACAAAGCACTTATGGTGCCAAAAGACTTGCTTAAAAAGGCTAAAAAACTGGTTGAGACTACAACAAATATGAATGCTAGTTTTGTAAATTTTTTGAAAAAGGCAACAGAAAATTCAGAAATAAATCCCACTGTACAGGTTCGTCAACTAAAAGCTTTTAAATCTGTGTTGAGTGACATCAAAAAAGCTCATCAGGTATTAGAAGAAGGTCTGAATTTGGAGATTCAAGCTTTGGATGCTAAAATCAAAGAAAAAAATACCAAAGAGAAGAAAAATGAAACTAAACCAGAAAAAACGGAGAGTAAAAAAGAGGAAGTAAAGGAACACGCAGTCTTAAAAGAGAAGGACATTGTAAACCCTGAGGAAAAAATTGAGTCAGCACAGTCTGACAGTGAGCCCATGGATCAAAGTGTTCCAACAGCAGAACAAACGGAAAACAAGAATGCTAGCAGCGAAGATAAAAGGTCTGATACAAATGCAGAACCTCAATATGAGCCTAATAGTACGGAGGCTTTAGACATGGATATTGTGTCTGTTCCTTCATCAGTCCCTGAAGATATTTTTGAGACTTTAGAATCTGCTATGGAAATTCAAACTGCATCTGAAGAACAGGGCAGTAGAAGTGCAGCAACAGAGCAGGAGACACTAAATGCAAATATAAAATCTAATATTCCTCTGAAAGACACTAAAGGAGGTCCAAAGTTAAAAGCATCAGCTAAAGTAACAAAAGAATTGTTTGTAAAATTGACTCCTGTTTCCCTTTCTGATTCCCCAGTAAAAACTGAAGATCAAGAGAATAGTCTGGAAAAGGAAGCTAAGAATGTTGATGCAATATCTAAAGCAGAAAACTGTGATTCTGGAAAAGAAAACCATGATGCTGGCAATGAATGCTTGCCACAAAATGATGCTGTTTTATTGATAGAAGAATCTGATCTCAGGCGGTCCCCACGTGTAAAGACCACTCCTCTGAGACGTCAAACAGATGTTAATCCCTTAACATCTAATTCAGAAGAGGACAGCAATGATACTGGCAATGAAAAGCGTAAGCAAAAGTCATCATCCCAATCAAAGAGGAAGCAAGATAAAAGAAATTCTTTTGATAAGACTGTTGATAGCCCTAAACCTAATAAACTTTCTAAATCCAAAAAACCAAAAGTGCTGGACCAAAGTTCAGATTCTGATGAGATGCCAGCAGTCCTTAAAGAAGTAGCTATGATAAGTCAGAGTTCTTCAGAGTTTGACAGCAATACCGAAACACCCAAAAACGTTCAGAAGATTACAAATGATCTTAAGAAACAATCAAAGAAGGATGAAAATGGAAAACGAAAAAGGAGGAGTTCCAGTTCTGGTTCAGATTTAGATTCCAAAAGAGGCAAATCAACTAAAGACTCTACTTCTGCAAAAAAGAAACGACAAAACTATTCAGATTCTTCAAATTATGACTCTGAGTTAGAAAGAGAAATTAAAAGTTTGAGTAAAATTGAATCTGCAAAAAAAGCCAAAAAGAAATACTCCAGGAAAGAAGACAGTTATGATTCCTCTGAAGAAGAGCAGAGTAAAAAAGGAACCGCTAGTAAGAAAAAGAAGAAAATACATTTGAAGAAACAGCGAGATGAATCTTCTAATGATGAATCTGAGAATTCATCCCCAGAGAAAGAGGACACTAATAACTTTTCTGAAGACAAAAAAAGTAAGAGAACAGCTATTAAGGAAAAGAAAAATAGAGATTTAAAACAGGGAACTTCAACAGAGAAGCAGGATGATTCCTCTGAAGAAGAGCAGAGTAAAAAAGGAAGTAAGAAAAAGAAGAAAATAAATGTGAAGAAACAGCGAGATGAATCTTCTAATGATGAATCTGAGAATTCATCCCCAGAGAAAGAGGACACTAATAACTTTTCTGAAGACAAAAAAAGTAAGAGAACAGCTATTAAGGAAAAGAAAAATAGAGATTTAAACCAGGGAACTTCAACAGAGAAGCAGGATGAGTTGTTGGATTTTAAGAAGTCAAACCTGGAGAAAACAAAAAGCTGCCCTTCTGAAGGTAAAAATAGAACACAAGCTAAAGAAAAGAAAAACAGAGAGCTGAAGAAGAAAAAGGCACAAGATGATTCTTCATCAGATGGTGCTGAGAAGGCTGTAAAAAAGCAGAATTGTGATTCTTCAGAGGACAAAGTCAAGAATGAAAAAGCAACAGAAAGTGAAGAGAAGAAAAGTGAAAACTTGAAAAAGAAAAGACACAAAAAAGAACAAAATGACTCTTCTTCTGATGTTGAGAAGTCATCTCCAGAGAAAGATGGCTACAATTCCTCTGAAAACAATAAAAGTAAAAATGAAATGGTGGTTAAGAAAAGAAGAAATCTACGAGAGAGAACAGCTAAGAGAGTGCAGATTGATTCATCTTCAGATGCTGAGCAGTCCCCAAAGAAAGAGAGTTCTTCTGATGATGATAAACGAAATAAACGTATAGAAGCTAAAGAAAAGAAAAAGATAAGCCACAAAAAGAAAGCATCTAAGAAAGAACAGAATGACTCTTTGTCCTCTTCTGATGGGGAATCTTATGAAGATAATAAAAAAAAGAGTAAAAGAGGATCCACTAAGGAAAGCAAAAAGGGTAACTTAAAAGAGAAAAAGAGAATTTCTAAAAAGCAGAAGGATGATCTTACATCATCTTCATCAGATGAAGAAGAGAATGATGACCAGAAGTCAACAGGGGATGGGAGCAGTGATGAGCAGAAGATTGTGCCAGTGACAGAAGATTTAATGATGTCCTTCAACACAGGATTTTGTCAGTCCTCAGGTGTGCAAATGATTTAAGTCTTACCTTTTGATTATCATGTCGATAGAGGAAAATAGCACGATTGGGATCAGGGCTGCCCCTCTGGATGGTGGGGGACCATCAGATCTCCAGGCCACACACTACATGGGCTGCACACCACACAGGTGGCCCTTCTGGGTTTCCCCTTGCTGCACAGCAGCTCTCCCCCTGCCATGTGCAGCCCAGGAAGCCCGGTTCCCTACAGAGTGTGGGCAGCACAGACCCATTCCTGACTGCCCTGCCCCCAGGAGCAGGGCAGGAACCAGATGTTGCAAGAGAGTGGGACCGCAGAGCCCGTGGCCGCCGCAGAAGCAATGGGAGGAGCAGTGGTCAGGAGAGAACCTGTGGGCTATTAAACAGCTCTTATTTGGATGATTTATATTGATTTAATCGGTGCAAATGCTTTTAAGTGAAGGTATCCAGAAACATGTATAACTACGTATACTAAAACTTGAGGCATATATTAAACCCTACTTTTTTCTGATATCAAATGTTCATAAATTCCGTAACGTCACTTGTTATCATTTGGCTAGTGTTGGCCTAGACTGTCACTTCAGCTTAATTTACAAGTGAACTGTGGTATTTCCAGAAAGGCCCTCAAAGCTGGAGCCACAGCATGTAACACCAAATGTATTCTTGTTTTTCTTATCCTTGTTGGCATTTGTTTTTTGTCAAGGTAGTGAATATTTAGTAGAAATCAGGACCCCTATTAGATCCCTTGCTGCTAGTCATGTAATGGAGCTGAATATCAAGCCCTGTAGCTTGGGTTACAGTAAGGTTCTTTGAGTAAATCTGATATCTTTTATTAGACCACCTCAGTCAGAAAAAATCTTCCTAGCAAGCTTTTGGGCACAAATGCCCTTTGTCAGGCTGAGGAAGTGTTTGCAGATGGCCTGTGCTCTTCCTGGATGGAGCGGTAAAGCATCTAGAGGCCAGTACCAATGCAAGGAAGGTAGTCAGTTAAAATGTAAATTGAGGTGGTCGCTAGGTGAGAGACAGGTTGCAGGGGAATGAAAGTAGCTGTAGTCAAAGAATGAGACAGGAGAGTGGGGGGAAGGGGAGTCAGATGTTAGACAGGTTATAATATGTCATAAATCCAATGTCTGTATTTAGTCCATGCTTTTTTGTATCTAGTAGGTTTCATAGTTTCATAGTTAGTAGGGCTGGAAGGGACCTGAGCAGATCATCAACTCCGACACCCTGCCATGACAGGAAAAAGTACTGGGGTCAAACGACCCCAGCAAGGTGATTGTCTAGCCTTGTCTTAAAGACTCCCCAGGGTAGGAGCCAGCACCACTTCTCTTGGAAGTTGGTTTCAGATCCTAGCTGCCGTGACAGTGAAGTAGCGCCTTCTGTTGTCTAAAAAGTTGATGAAGTTAAGTTCGTGGGCTGATCTGTGGAAGGTATTTTATAAAATTCCCTTTGAGAATTGAACCGAGAGTGGAAATGTTGTCCCAGGTACCTGTGGGGGCACATTTCTCGCAAGAAAACCACTCTTTCGCCAGTCTCTCAGTTTTAATTCTCAAAGGGAATTTACAAAATACCTCTCGTAGATGAGGCCATGAACTTGACTTATTTTGTATCCAGTAGTTTGGTTATTGTGGACTAAATATAGACATTGGATTTATGACACATTATAATCTGCCACATTTTCTTTGGCCTTCCACAGCACTTTGTGTAGTTGGTTTCGCTGCTTATGTTGATGTGATCCTTTGCCATGATTTGTGAAGTTGTAACTGAAACAAAGTTGTAGGAGATGGGAATATGTGTATGTGTGTGTAAATGTATGGGTATGTATATGTTGGGAACTCATGAGTGAGAAACATTTTTGCTTTTAGGCCTTTCTAAAAGACTCTTAAAAATACCAAAATAGGAGAAAAGGCCTTACATTTTTAAAAATGTAAAATAAAATTAAAGCAATGTTACTTTGTCAGTTTAAAAAACTTTTAATGCAGAAAACTTAACTTAAAGCTGATGATGTTTCTTCTTACGTGTTGATTCAAGAGTTTCTGAGCTCTTTTCCAAGTTCTTCTTCAAACTCTTTGACCTTGGGGCAAGAGGGTGAGGTGGGGCATTGTGTCTGTTTCTCTATATGTAAAATGGAGATAATTTGTTTCACAAGGATATTGCAGCACTTCCTTCAGGAATGTTTGTTAATTGCTTTTGAGCTTCTTGGATAGAAGTTATTGTGGGAGAACAAGTTTATAGTGTTATGCTGAGCCACCCCTTTCAGAGTAACTAGGTACATCTTATTCATGTATTACTATTCAGATTAGTACACAAGTTTCAAACTCTGAAAATGTTGTAAGAGAGTTGACTCTCTTGTGTAAATAGAATGGAAAAAAAACTTGCCTATTTGCCTAACAAGAAGTGGCATAGTGGATGTTGATACATTCTCAAGGTTTAGCCATTTCTTTTCTTTTTTTAACTATCCTTTTGCTTGGGAAAAAGTAATCTGCACTATAATGAAGCATCTTATAATTGGTCTACTATGAATGAATGGGTTGAATTAATTCTTATAAAATTCTTTTGAAAATGCCCTCTTATAAAGAGGGCTAGCTTAGAGTTCAGAAAACAATTAATTGTGATGTGTTCTGTTTCTATAATCAGTCTGAACTTGCTTTGAATCAGCACTAATGCTGTTATATCGGCACCAAATGTCCAGTGAGCAGAAGCTTAAATACAAACTTTTCTGTGCATGTGTTTTTGTGTTCCACCTAAAGATAAGCTTGAAGAAGATTTGGTGTGGAATAGTAGCTGTTAAGCATCAAACTATTATCCAGATTAAGCAGATCATAAAGTAATGAATATTTCTCCTTTTTTTAGTGTTGGTATGCATTCTGCTGCAGGTATGTGTATATCTCAGCTATATAAGATTGAAATCTTTTGTGTAACAGTCCCTGTTGGATTTATGCGTTGGCCCAAAGTCTTCTCCTGTGCTCTAGTTCAAGCATAAGAAGTGGAGTCATTCAGTTTCATCTTGCTATCTGTTGGACAGAACAGAGGCTTTTCTCCTGCTTACTAATTCTTGTACCCAACACTTTTACAGTCATCTGTCTGTTTTGTAGGGAATCATCTTAGCAGCCAGTGTTCAAAGAATATGCAGCAGTGCTTTCAAAACATAGCAATGTCCCCCAAACTGACAGTGTTCAAATTATGTTTGGCATAGAGTGATCTGATTCCACTTTAATCATGCAGGGACTGTAAAAATTAGCAGGTATTGGGTTCTTTCTGTGGGGTGATCTTAAGTATTTGACTGCAGAGCATACACAAGTAGTTTCTGTTCAGTTCAAAGGTAAAGTCACTGTGTGTGATCCCCAAAGAGGAGCCACAGGAGGAGGCAGGACTGGGTGAGAGCCCCAGGCCCCAGTGGAAGCTGTCATGGATTCCCAAAAGGAGCTGCAGGAGGAGGCAGGCTTAGTTGCCTGTACACAAATGCCAGAAGCATGGGGAACAAGCAGGAAGAACTGACCTTCCTGCTAACCAACAAGCAATACGAACTTACAGGGATTACAGAGATCTGGTGGGACTCAACCTGTGATTGGACCACAAGTATAGATGACTGCACCCTGTACAGGAGGGATCATGTTGGGAAGAAAGGTGGAGGAGTTGCGCTCTACATGAAGGAACGTTACATCTCTCTGGAAGTGGAGATTAGCAACAAAGAGTGACTTGAGACCCTCTGGGTCAAGATACAGGGAGAGCATGGGGAAGGGGATTTGACTGTAGGAATTTACAGATCTCCAAGCCAAGAGGAAGAGCTTGGCCAAGAATTCTCTAGGGAAGTGGTAGAGGCTGCACGCTCTCGGAGCATGGTTGTCTGGATAGTTGAAGTCACCCACAACATCTCATGGGATGAGCACACAGCAAGATTTGATCGCTCACTTGCATGGAAGAGCTTCCTTGCTTGCGTGGAAGAGCTCTGTATCTGACTCGAGTCTGTGGGCTGACTAGGAGTAAGGCAGTTTTAGACTTGTTTCTGGCCAAAGGGGATGATGCAGTGAGCAATCTGAGGATTGAAGGGAAATTGGGCGACAGTGACCATGAGATGATCACTTTCTCCATCCACTGTAAGTCTGGCAAATCAGCCACTAGGGTAGACTTCCACAAGTGTAGTAGATTGGTTGGCAAGGCCCTGCGGCACCATGGTCCAATGAGGAAGGGAGTACAAAAAGAGTGGCTTAATAGGGAAGTCATGGACCTGCTGAATTTTTACAAGAGAAGCTTACAAGGGATGGAAGTCAGAAATAACCACCAAAGAGGAGTTCTCAGCTATAGCCCGCACGTGTAGGGAGCGAATTAGGAAAGCAAAGGCACAAATCAAATACAAATTGGCAACCAGAATCAAAGACAACACAAAGTCCTTCTTTAGATATGTAGGATGTTGGAGAAAAAATAAGGGAAGCATGTTGGATGTTGGAGAAAAAATAAGAGAAGCTGCCCTGATGAATGAAATAGGGCAGCTGATAGCCTGGTCCTGTGGGCTGAACAAAACCAGATGGGGTTCAACAAGGACAAATGTCGGGTCCTTCATCTGGGTAGGAAGAACGTGCACCATAGCTATATGATGGGTGGTTGTCCACTGGCTGGATGAATACGAGACACCAGTGTGACGAAGTCACCAGCAGAGCAACTAGAACTCTGGTGTGCATCAGCAGATGAATAGAGATGCTCTGCCCCCTCTATTTAGCGTTGGTGAGGCCACAGCTGGAGTACTGCATCCCAGTTTTGGGCACACCACTTCAAGAAGAATGTGGACAAGCTTGATATGGTGCAGAGAAGGGCCACTTGCATGATCAAGGGCCTGGCAGACAGGCCCTATGAGGAGAGACTTTGGGATCTGGAACTGTTCCTTCTAAGCAAAAGAAGGATGAAAGGCGACTCTAGCTGCCTACAGATATGTCAAGGGGGAATGCTGCAGGACCTAGGTGAACAACTTTTCACTTCCTGGTCCACTGGGGAGCGCACAGGGCCCCCCTGCT